GGCTCACCTAGCCCTCGAAGACACCAGGACCTAGGCCTGGCCTTAGCCTCAATGGGACAGCCCTGCTTCCAATGAAGGGCTCTGGGAGTCCCAAACAGGCCTGAGGTCATGACCACAGGCAGTGGGCTTTCGGAGGTTTGAACGCAGCTTTGCTTTCATCGAATCTATTCTCAGCAATAATGATCCTCCTCCTACCTGCTGGAGGGGAGAGAATGTCACCGTGAGGTCTACCTCATTGTCCTTTAGGCTCCCTCTGAGGGATGAGGTCCTGAAATTGTGTGGATGATGAGGGAAGGGTTCCAGGACACTGCCTCCAAAGGTGGAGACAGGGAGCTGGGTCCCGGTAGATGTCTGTGGACCCTGTACCTTGGTGGGAGGGACAGTGGCGCTAACCCACAGCCTCCACCCCATCCCTTCTCCTGTTTCCCCCACTCCGCACTGGCATCTAACTGGGGCTGCATTGTGTAGGAAATCATGTAACTCTGTGGACGGGGGCCTCTCGAAACTCACGGTCTCCACACTCACAAGCACCTTCACATTGCCCAGCGCCCCGCCTGCCTCTTAGGCAGAGGCGAGCCCCCTCCCCCCCCCCCCCCCATACCCCCATCCCCGAGAGCGGACCATGGGCCACTCAGAGCAACACCTGCACCGGTAATGGAGGGAACGTGCCAATTCATTTTGCAACTTTAATGTAACACTGATACCAACCAAAAACATGACAGCACGACAACAGCACATGAGGAAAGCAGGAGGGCAAAGAGAGCTGAGTCTTGCATGCCATCTTTGATGGGCAAGCGGAGGCCACCTAGAGTGCTATGTGGACATGGAGTCTGAGGAGGCACTCTGACTGGGTGAGTGATTGCTGCAGTTCAGCGTTGTCTGTAAACACAGGACACAAAAGCGAAGGCAGAAATAGAAATACATGTGAAACAGTAAGGGATATAAAGAATAAAACAAGAGTCTGTCCAAACTCTCACCGTTCTCCCTCCCCAAACCAGGCCTTCTGCCTACTTCTCACAACCCTTCCTCAGCCCGCCCTGCCCTTCAGAGTCTCATTTATCACCTGAAAATCCTACTGGATCCAGGAGAAGAAGCTGGCACTCGTTCTGGCGGCATTTCTGGTCCGGATGGTGGAGCTGGTGCTAGGGCCATCTAGGACGATGGTGTTGGTCCCACCATCAGTGCCACTGCTGACGCCGGCTCTCCAAGTGGCCCTCCTGTTGGCACGGTTGCTGTTCAGAATGTACTGATGGTATCTGGCCCAGAAAGCAAAGGGGATCCTGGCCCAGGCATCGCCAAAATCTCCGTCCTCGTCCCACGACAGAAGCTCCACCTGTATGTCGTCCCAGCTCCACCGTCCAATCAGAGCTTCATCCCCAATATTCATCTGGGCCCTCATCTGGGCCCTGGCATGTTCCTCAGCCATATCCACGTCCATCGTCTTGAAGGCATCATCCACAGCCTCTAAGAAGTGAGCCTTCCATTCCTGGGGATCTCGGTTCTGATTCTGCGATGGAATAACAGCAACCCTCCTAACAGATACCCCACATTCACTGAGCACCCTACACCCTCCTGTGCGCTGTGCGTAATCACAATAAAAATAAAGACCACTGGAGTCAGGCTCTTCTTACTCTGGACCAGACCTGGGATTTTGCCCCATCCTTCACACGCACAATGTCAGTGAACTTGGGCGAGTTACCTAGGAACTTTTCTGAGCCTCAGTGACCGAGAAACACACAAGGGCTGGGAAGTGACAGCCCCTGGGCCTGGCCCCCAGCAGAGGACCTCCGTTACCTGGGCGATGAATCTCAGCACCCTCATCTTGCTGGTCTCGTGGCGGGCCCGCAGGCCCCAGAGGAATTCATACTCGGATGGGCTGCTATTGGGGATCTTCTTGTATTCCAGGTACCTCAGTGGAGAGGAAGATAAACTTTTGCCTCTAGCCATGTAGACCTGTTGTCATGCTTATGGCTCCCACGTGGCCCCTTCTCAACCCCATGCTACAGCTCAGCTCCTGCAGGACTGCCTTGGCCCTCTGGCCCGTGCCCCACTCCCAGGGTTTCTGCCTCCAATACCGAGGCCTTAAAAGCTCTGGGCTGTTGGTCCTGCCCGGCACCCATGGGGAAGTGCGGGGTGGGGGGTGGGGAACACGTGTAGGGTGTCTGTTCATAAGAAGGCCACAAGTTTGGTGCCCCTCGTCACAATGACCCCGGATTCCTGTTGGGTGTGTTGTAAACAGAGGAGCCATTTCTTCAGGCCCCCTGCTCTGAGCACACCCCACCGCAGGGTCTCACCCGTGGCCTGGCTGAGCCCTGGGACAGTCCACCACGGAAAACGACGGTGAAGGAAAGGGAAGCAACAGTCCGAGAGCAGTGTATTCCGCATACTCTCCCGATCGTATGTGCGCAAATGTGTGCTAGTGCACCTGTGTGAGTGCGCACGTGTTCTCCGAGGACCGAGGATAAGGTGGGCCCTGGCCCGAAAGTCAGGAGGGCTGGCCTCCAGGCCCGAATGGGCCCCTGACCAGCTGGGGCCACACTCAGACTTCCAGTCTCTGAGCCCCAGGTTCCTGAGGTGTAAAGCAGGGGACAGTCTCCTACAGCCTGCAGGGCAGGTACTGAATGACGTGGTGGATGTAACACGCCCCGCACCGTGTTCTCAGTCAACGTGCGCCCCCTTTCCCCAAGACCGCCCCAGAATTCTAATCCCACAGACACTCATATATCCCCACCCACACTCACCCCAGAGCCCCCCATCACTCTGGTGTTAAGATATAGGACGGGGAATGGCTTCCTCAGCCAGACCGGCACACAAGAAAGGCATGGATGTGAGACGGAGTTATCTCGGTCAATACTTACTTCTGCTTCACAAAGTCATCTGTAATGAGCTTCCTCAGATCGCCAAGAAATGGGTGCCTCATCCTGAGGGAAAGGAAAGGAGTCCATGACTAGAGCTGGTGGCAGTGCCCAGATGTGAGCAGGAGCACTCCCTAACAGAACTGAGAGCTTCCCAGCCTCGTGGGGCAGCCCCATGAGGCCTGGGCATGCAGCAGAGGTCAGACGGCTACTTGTCAGCGATGGCCTACATAGGGGTTTGATGGAGCCCCAAATTCTGATGGTTTCTCTTAGATCTCTTCTGGGGACAGAGAGGGGGCACGGAGCAGAAAGGGGGCTGAGAGTTCAGGGCCATTTTGCCATGCACCCTGATGAGACCCTTTGCACTCTGCCTAGTCCAGGATTCCCACTCCCCTGTACCAGACCACCAAGCTGTTGCAATCCCAGGGCCTCCTGTGCCCAAGGACAATGCTGAGGGGCAGCGAGAGCCCAGAGAGTCCGATCGTACCCAGGGCGCAGTCCCATCTTGCGTAGTGCCTCCCAGAGGACAGCTGTGAGGGGAGATGAGGTACAAGAATTTAGAACACGAAGGTGACACTGAGGGCAGCCCCTCAGCTGCAGGTCCAGCCACTCACCCTCGCTGGCCCGGTTGCCATTCATGAAGATGACTCCCAGAATCACCAAGAGGAGACTCAGCCTGGGAGTGTCCTTGGTCCTAAAGGTGTAGAAAGAGGGATCCTGTCCAGCAGCCATTTGCCCGAGAGACTACAACCGGCTCACCCAACTAGCCTCTCTCAGGCTGCTCCGCTACAGGGAAGTTCTCCCCACTCTGTGCATGGCTTGCTACCTGATCCAGACAATTCATTCCTCCGCTTGAGATTGCATCATTTCATCCACCAAATGTTCCCTCCCAGGATTCCGCCGAGGACAGGGTTAGGCGGGGAGCAAGTGCTTGCCAAAGGTGTGTCCAGAGGCACATCCACACTTTCCCTGCCTTTTGCCCATGGGAGCTACACTGGACAAGAAGCTCCTCCAGAACCAACCACTCTACCAAGCCCGGGCCAAGCACTTAGCAGGAAGAGGAAAGCAACAAGAAGCCTGCTTTCTTGGAGGAGGGGGCGGGGGCGAAACCCTGACTGCAGCAAGGCCTCATCCAGGCTTCTACCCCTTTCATCTGGTAAGCACCTGGCACCACTA